AAAACAAAAACAAAACACTGCAAGCCTTGTTAATAAACAGATATTAATCAATTTCATATCAACATTTTTCAACCCTTTTTTTTAAAGTTCAGTGGATGTGTTGGCTTCATTCTGTACCACAATGGTTTTGTTTGTCTTCAACTACTTGATGAAAAAAGTCCCATTGTGAACGCTATTTTTCAGCCTAAATGCAGATATCTTTATTGCTCTAAAGTTTAATGCATATTGTAAAAAAACATTCATATTTGTGCTGTAGTTGTGTATTTTATGTATGGTTTTCAATCATTTGCATTAATAAAATGTGTTTGGTTATGATATCAGATTCTGTGTGCTTGGTTATTGATATTATTCTGTGTGTTTGGCTATTGAGAGAGATTTTCATTGTTATAATTCAAATAGTTACAAAGAAAGTTATCTTAAATAGAAAATAGCAATTCTATGATGCTACGAAGTAATCTCTAAATCTATTGCGCCCTCTAATGGTTAGAAAATGTGGTACATGTCCCGCACTTAAAATGTTAAATTAACCTCATGTCGTTACAAACCCAAGACTGTCGTGTATTTTCGGAACACACAAATTTAGATCTTTTTGATTAAATCAGAGCTTTCTGTTCAGCAATCGATAATTAAAACTTCAAACAGGTAATAAATCCATATGAATTGAGCGGTTTAGTCCACATTTCCTGAAGAAACTCTTCATATTGAATTTTATTCACATATAAACATCAATGTGCTAAAAAAATTTGAAGCATTAAAAAATTAAGATTATATCGATTACTCGCACATCTAACATAAAAGTTTGTACAAACACACACACACAGACACACACACACACACACACACACACACACACACACATAGTATATATATATATATATATATATATATATATATATATATATATATATATCCTAATAACTGTTACAAATCATTTAAGAAGAATAAATTCATTAAAACATGGTTTAGACTGGGGGATTTGCTTGCTTGTGTGTATGTGTGTGTAAAATAGGTGTGAATTTAGCCAGCTGCATTGTGGGAATTGTAGTCATGTGTAATGACGTATGCCATGACGCCTGAATGTTGTGTCTGTGAGGAAGATGGCGGACTCAGTAGCGGCTGGGCTTGGAGACGAAAATGAGACTGAAAATGAGGATAAAGAGAAGGAGAAACGACTCTTCAGCGGCGTCAAAAAGACAGAGAAGCAAGCCGCTACATCAGATGTTACAGAAACTCTGGGGTTTTACGAGAGGAAGGCGAAATGCAAAGAGAGAAAGAGCAATATGTCAGGTAAGAGTGACTGACAGCGGTTCTGTGCGCTAAATACACATCGTTTTCAACCTAGTGAGCTGTCTACATAGACTGTATGTATCAGCATCATAAGCATGTCACATATAGATCTAGGTAAGCAATGTTTGATTAAACGTTACAACGCGCCAAACTACTGTCTAGGTAGGAAGCTAGCAAGTTACCACACACAACAGCCACAATGCATTGCATCTAACGTTTTATAACGTTACTGTCTGAAGCATTATCAGTTAACATACCAAAGTTTGTTTACCTTTAATAAAATCAGATCGACATCCATTAGTGTATTTACGGTGCCGCAATTACCAGTGTGGCTCATGTGACACATTCAGCCGCTTGCATAATGAGACTAACTTAACTTTAGAAGCACAAGGATCAAGACAGCTGATCAGCTGTGAAAATGTAAAGGTGTTTACACGAGGTTGCTTAGGAACAGTAACGTTTAATATTAACATTATGTAATGCATTAATTTGTGGTAACATGCATAATCAAAATTATAGCATAACATTTATTCATCATTCATATTCATTCTTGAATGCACATGAATCTCTAATATATTAATAGGTTTATTAATTTAAGTTATTATGAAGCAAGATTTCTGCTGGAAATTTGATAGTCCCACATTATGTTAGGTGTCTAAGTAATTGTTAGGTACAATGTATTGTTTTCATGTGGTATAGCAGAACACTTTTGCGGCTATCGAGGTGGGAGACGGGTAAGGTTAGGGACAGTTTTGGTGGTATGGTTAAGCCTAGTTCACACTACATGATTTTAAAATGTTGGGCTGAACTGTGCAGTTCACATTACATGACTTGCTCTCAGTGAAATCATGAGTGTTCAAGTTGTTTAGCTTTTCACACCACACAACACAACGTGATTGATCCACAACAGGAGGTAACTCACTACACGAGTTAACAACGCACTGCATAGAGATACAACCACGATCGGATGATAAGAGCATATCATTTGTGACTCAATGAGAGCTGTTTCAGTACTATAGTACGGTCTAAATCCTGAAAATAATCAAACAAATAACGAGTGGACAACAACACGATTCTATCTGGTCTAGAAACCATGTTTTGTAACGAAAAACCACGCAATAAAACGAACCAGAAATGACGCGAAACTACAGAGAAGAACATAACACGCGAATATGGACGTCAGACAGAAACTAGTGCTGCACACTGTTTGCTCGACGATCTGCTCTGAGAAAAAAAATGCAAAAAAGAAAAAGTAAGATTTACCTGGTGTCCTCAACCCATGCGTTGCTATGATTGGCTGTACTCATGACATCACTGAGATTGAGTCGCGCGACTGCTCGAGATATCTAGCAGGCTAGATATTTTTCTGAGCTCGGTGACCTGTCTGCGAGCTGTCTGCGAGCTGTCTTTGATGCGTTGTTGGCTCTTTCACACTAACGGATTGGCGAGCGTTAATCGTCCGCTAATCGCCCGCGATTTGCACGCGATAACACCCTGACTTGTCGGCGACTCAACGATTTGCAAATCGGGCTTAAATCGGGCTTAAAATCACGTAGTGTGAACTAGGCTTAAGGTTTAAGCGGGTTAAGGTGTAAGGCCCAACAGTGTAATAGATCCAACTACAGAAATAATTACAAATACATGCAGGTTTCTAAAACGGTTTTTATATAGTTATCATTAATGCTGGGATTTTAGTGTGGGTGTTTGTTTAGGCTATGTGAGAAGCGAGGATAATGCTTCTAGAATTGCTACTAGAGGCTTTTGTGGGCGTTTAAGAGTTGATGCTAATAATTAATTTTAAATAGTATACAAAGAAATGATCAAAATAACACACTAGCCTAATTTTGGTCATTCATAATTTTATTTGTTATCTGCAACATCAGACTCAGAAACTGAACATGTGAATGCATTGTTAAATTACTAAAATTAGCTTAAAATCTTACTTAAAGTAAATATTTTTGCAGCAATGTTTGTTTGACAAAAAAGGTTTGAGTTGAAACAGAATGCAGGAAGCCAAAGTGAATCCAAACAAACTTGTCAACCTTTTAAATGGGTGGAATATATGAAACTGAGGGCATTTTTTCTGTGCTTTTCTTTTAGAAAGCTTTTAGGTTTTCATCATGAGCTCAGATAGCAAACAGGTGTTTGTTGGATGATAAATGTACTAATTTTATGTAACTTAGTTATAAGACAAACAGATAAGAATCTGGTATCTCTCTGGCTCTCTCTCGATCTTTCTCTCCACTTTGTTTGTTTTCCCATTCACTTTGTTCATCCTCAAGTTTATCCTTCTCTATTACTGTTAAAAATAGAAAGTACTATGTGTGTTGGCAACAGAACACATTTGCAATGTGTGCTGTTCAACTCAGGACACTTTCTTGCTCTTATCACAACACGCTTGGCCTTAGGTCAACATAAACATGCACTAAAAACCGTCCAGGACTTTCTCTTCCACTTAAATTAAACTTTTATGTTACTGGTCTGCTCTGCTGTAGATAAAGTTTGTGTTAACAGAGAACCACCATCACACAGCAACTGTGTCAACAATGTTCCTGATCAAATCACTAAACCTTTACTGCTGTGATATGAAAACATAAAACAAAGAAAAGTTGCTTATTGTGGCTTTGTTTGAAGATTGCTTAAAAACTTCTATTTAAGTCTGTGTACGAGAATCACATTTTTCTATTTTTATCATGATTCACTCATTATTCTGAATAGACAGCTTAACAAAATAACATGTAATTTACTAGACGTTCTGACAAAATGTGAATTGGAGCATTCTATAAAAAAATATATATAAATAAATCAGTTTTAATGAACACTGACTCGCTTAACTACTGCGGCTGTCAGCTAGAATGTGGATTCTGTGCCTGAGTGTAAATGATTTAGATTTAGTAAATTATCTATTTCTGCAGATATATTCATCTGACGCTGCCGGCTGCAGATACACAAACTGTAAACAAAGCAGTGCATGCTGCTTACTGTTTTAAATATCAGTCCTGTTAAACACTTTCTTTATTCCACTCTGTTCGAGTTAATAATGAAATATTTGCCAAGGAACACTCAGGTAAGATGACGTAACATAAGTGCAGCCTTCTATCTGTAGAGTTTTGACTTCTTTGCTGCTGTTTTGCTATTATACTCGTGCACTGACTCTTTCACTAAGCTGAACAGCCAATCAGAGTTCCCTCTTTCACCGATGGCCCGACGGCGATTACGCCAACATGTTGAGTCGGCCGAAACAAAGCCCATGAGGACCAATTTCAGCCGACGGTATGGAACCGTGTGGTTCCATGCCGTCCCCTCCGAGGAATCTTAGTCGGCCAATGCACAAAAACTGCCCGACGGCTGATCGTCGGCTAGGCTTTTGGTGTGTTCAAGTGCAGCTTTTTTACTCCGACGTGAGGCGACAACCAGTGTTGCCACACGTACGATAATTATCGTATTTTGTACAATAATTTTGACCTGTACGATGTACGATCAGTAATGAAAAAAAGTCCATAATGTACGATAAATTTATGAATTTTGTGACACATTAATTTTGGATAAGACTGCTTGGGTGTTTTAATCGAGATCACAATTTTAACGATTTAATCGTGCAGCTCCACATATGGAAAATCTAGGATTTAAATATAAATTTTGAAGTTTTAAAAATGTAAAACAAAGAATCATTATTTACAAAAATGATTGCACTGCATAATACTCAAAGGGCTAATTGTTGGTAATTTTTTTGTATCCAACTTTTTGGTTTGTTTTGTTGTTTTAACCTTTCAGCATTATTACAGGTTTATAAAAACAATTTTATTAAAGACACTGTATTATTGTGCTGTTGCAATGCAAACAACATCAGTACTATACATTTACCTAAAGAATTATTAGGGACACCTGTTCAATTTCTCATTAATACAATTTTCCTGTGGGCAAAAATGCCTTGTTAATTCTAGAGGTCAGAGGAGAATGGGCCGACTGATTCAAGTTGATAGAAGAGCAACTTTGACTGAAATAACCACTCGTCGTTACAACCGAGGTATGCAGCAAAGCATTTGTAAAACCACAACACGCACAACCTTGAGGCGGATGGGCTAAAACAGCACAGGATCCCACCGGGTACCACTCATCTCCACTACAAATAGGAAAAAGAGGCTACAGTTTGCAAGAGCTCACCAAAATTGGACATTTGAAGACTGGAAAAATGTTGCCTGGTCTGATGAGTCTCGATTTCTGTTGAGACATTCAGATGGTAGAGTCAGAATTTGGCGTAAACAGAATGAGAACATGGACCCATCATGCCTTGTTACCACTGTGCAGTCTTGTGGTGGTGGTGGTGTAATCGTTTAATGCCATAGCCTACCTGAGCATTGTTTCTGACCATGTCCATTTCTTTATGGCCACCATGTACCCATCCTCTGATGGCTACTTCCAGCAGGATAATGCACCATGTCACAAAGCTCGAATAATTTCAAATTGGTTTCTTGAACATGACAAGTTCACTGTACTGAAATGGCCCCCACAGTCACCAGATTGCAACCCAATAGAGCATCTTTGGGATGTGGTGGAACGGGAGCTTCGTGCCCTGGATCTCCATCAACTGCAAGATGCTATCCTATCAATATGGGCCAACATTTCTAAAGAATGCTTTTAGCACCTTGTTGAATCAATGCCACATAGAATTAAGGCAGTTCTGAATGAGAAAGCGGGTCAAACACAGTATTATTATTGTGTTCCTAATAATCCTTTAGGTGAGTGTATAAGACCCTCAATCCACAACTCACAAAGTTTTAAAGAAATAAAATAAAATTGTAAAATAAATTATGAGATTAATTTTAATTAGAAAATGATCTAAAGTGATCTAAAATCCTATATTGGAAAACAAAATCCTATCGGAAAACTATTCATAATGGCATTTTCACAAGTGGACTATTTTTTTTGTAATGGTAGATAATTGAGAGAGATGGAGAGAGGTTTATGCTGGCGCCTGCATGTTTTTTCATCCTCCTTTCACACACACACAGGAACATTTTGAGCTTCCATCCTCTGTGTACAGTATAGTGCTAAATGATTGTGCTGTTTCATTGTGCTGGATGCATGTGACTACACATTCATGTGTGTGTTTATTTGTCTGTCTGTGTGCAGATCTCTCTCTGGTGAGGTTTATTAGTGCTGAGTTGACTAGAGGATATTTTCTGGAACACAATGAGGCCAAATACACAGAGCGGAGAGAGAAGGTTTACACCTGCCTGCGTATTCCAAAAGAACTGGAGAAGGTACCAAACATGGCACAAAATTACACAATCCACACTTAATGAAATAACTGTTCAGTACAATATCTTTCATCATACTGTGCATTGTTTTATTTATCTGCCAACCAAAGGAATTAAAACCATAATGATATATTATAATAATATAATATTATTAATGTTAAAATATGTTCCTAATACTCCCCTCATCTGAAAACAGATGTGTCCCAAACTCACTCCCTTGGGGGTTGTTATGTCATGTTGATGGCTTCTCAGTGTATTTTTTTATGGGTAGAAAACAAACAAATGGCTTAATTAAATTAAAAATATATTATTACATTTATTATTTACTCTTGTCTTATTTATAAAAATAATTAATTGTAAATATAATGTATTTTTAATTGTTTATTAAAACATATTGTATTATATATTTTTTATTTTATAAATATATTTTTATTATAAAAAAATATGTATTTTCTAAATTTATACATAAATATAAAAATAAATGGTAATACTTTACAATAGGGTTTCATTGGTTAACATTAGTTAAAGGAGTAGTTAAATTAAAAAAAAACAAAAAAAAATTTCTGATGATTTACTCACCCCCATATCATCTAAGATGTCCATATCTTTCTTTCTTCAGACCAAAAGAAATGAAGGTTTTTGATAAAAAACATTCCAGGATTTTTCTCCATATAATGCACTTCACTGGTAAACCAAACGGTTCAAGGTCCAAAAGACGGTTTAAGTGCAAACTGTCCAAAGGGCTTTAAACGATTCCAGACGATGAATAAGGGCCTTATCAAGCAAAACGATCGCTCATTTTTAAAAAAAAAAAAAAAAAGAAAGAAAAGAAAAAAACAAACTTTAAGTTTTATAAGCTCAAATGGCCGCCTTGCTCTGTTCTGTGATGCGTGTTCGTGACTCTCTTGTTCAAACTCGTTTATCAAATTGAACAAATATTTTTTCGTGTCATTTGGTTCATTCAACAAACGAAATGAACAAATTGAAATAAAAATAAAAGTTTAAATAAAAGTTTTATTTTAAAAAATAAAAATAAATAAAAATTTAAGTTTTAGAAGCACAAACGCTCGCCTTCCTCTGTTTGTGACGTTACTTAATTGCGTATTACGTTATGTTACGAACGCGCATCACAGAACAGAGCAAGCTTCATATAACTGAAGTCCATTATCCTGGATAAATCCATAGATCCATAAGTCCATAAATCCTGGAATGTTTTCATCAAAAACCTTAATTTCTTTGCGACATGGACATCTTGGATGACCCAGGAGTGAGTAAATTATCAGCAAAAGTTTTTTTGTTTTTTTTTTAAAGTGAACTAATCCTATAACAAATTAAACCTTATTGTGCGTAAAGTGTTACCAAATAAATAGTTTGAACATTTAATACCTTGTTTCTTCAAATTGAAGGAACGGATCAGTCATGTGACATTTTTGTCAAACCTGACATGAAGCATCTAAAGGTGTGTTCTTTACACAAATCTATCAAATAGCTACAAGAATATTTGCAAACGCACAAGTTTTAGCTACTACTTTTATGAAATTAATGGTGCTTTTTTTTGTCATTTTGGAGTTTGACAGTCTGAGTTTTTGAACTAAGTTATACCACATCCAGGACTATCACTGATCTCTCTCTCTCTCTCTCTCTCTCTCTGTAGCTGATGATCTTTGGGTTTTTCCTGTGTCTGGATGTGTTTCTGTACGTGTTTACCCTGCTGCCCCTCAGAGTGTTTCTGGCCCTGATCAGACTGCTGACACTGCCCTGCTGTGGCCTCAGGTAATACACACACTGTACTCCGGATATGCTCTGAGCAATGTTCCCAAAAGTAGGACTGTAATATGATTCTGATAAACCAACAGGTTGAAACATCTGAGCTCTCTACTTTTTTCTTTCACAGTATTATTACAGACACACACACACACACCTACACACACTTAAACCCAAAATGATTGTGCATATACTCTTCTGCCTGCAGAGCTAGTATTTGTCCCTACTGCAAAAAGAGCAGGTATTCAGAAAAAAAGGACTGCAGCTGCTTTAAGCACACACTAATGTGCTGGTATGATTGCAGCGGCTGTGTTCAATTCCCTGCGTCCCAATTCGCCTACTTCTACTACACCCTAAAAGTATGTACTCTTTTTGTGAAGAAAAAGTACATACTTTTAAGTGGACATACTACTTCGTCACCTTTAACGGACAGATCTGTCGCGTGCACCCTGTCAATCTTCTCGTCAAAGTTAAAATCCTTACCGTTTCGGAGAGAAATGTTGTTGGACGTTCATCTTCCAGTCGTGGGTCTTTCATGCGGAGACTCATGTGTTTGCAATTTGAATATAATGATGCATTTAAAAGTTAATGTCTAACGTATCTTTACAAAAGTTCACAATAGGGGATTATCACGCTTCCGGGTTTCATGGGCGGGATTTGTCAACTTTGTGCATGTCCACTTCCGACGCAGTTCAACAATGGCTGTGACGAAGGCTATATATGTCACTGCTCTATTCCACTTTGCAAATCTAACCAACAACGCCAACCCTACGTAAGTTTTCATGGATTCCCTGACTGAATTTAGTATAAGGAAGAACTGGATTAAAACTTTAAAATAAAACAAGGTAGCACGTTTGTTTGCAGCCGGCACTTTAGTGAATCAGACTAATTTACCAGGGATGCCAGTGTAGTCCGTCATCAGTTCGCCAGTAAGATCGGTCATTCAACGGAAGTGGCAGTGCACAAAGATCACAGAATCCGGAAGTCCTACGTATCAGCGTGACAATCCCCTATGCTTCTGCATAGGGTTGGGTATCGTTTGAATTTGAACGATTCTGATTCCGATTCCGATTCCTTGTTTCGATTCCGGTTCCTAACGATTCTCGATTCCGATTCTTCTAAGAGGCAGGGTCAAAAAATTTTAGCTAACCTTGCTAACCAACGGCCTTTCTGAAGGAAATACTCCTTCTGTAAAAAAACTCCTTTTGTCACAAATTTTTCATTTTGCCGAGATTTCGTTATTTTTAGAAAAGTGAAGCCCCCCTTTAATCTCCGACGTAAGGTACTCATGTTCGACTCGCGTGGTTATGCCAACACTTCCGGTAGACGCTTCTTCGTTGGTGTCGTTCAGCGGTTTCTTCTTCCGCTCGGCGGACTGTGAATATCGAAACTAGGAATCGAAATTTGAACTTTTGAACGATTCCGGGAAAAACTAAAAGTTAGTCCCGGTTCCAATCGATACTCGATTCTCGATACCCAACCCTACTTCTGCAGATGCAATATAATAATGTAGCCAACATTCGTCAGGTTAGATACTGATAATTAATCACTTAAACCCCTTTATCTAAACCTCTCTACACAACCGCCGAACTCGTGCGTCCACCATGTCTGTAGTTTTTTAACATTGTTTACTCGTGTTTGTAGTTCTAACCGAATCCTCGCCCAGCGCGCAATGGGTTGTGAGCAATGTCAGCCGTTAGAGTGTGCATCGATCTACACTTCGGATTCTGACCGGATATAGTAGATCAGGGGTGCACAATCCTGCCAAAGAGACCATCCGGGTCTCTTTGGGACACTCATTTCAACATATTACGATTTGGGACGATTTTCGAATACTATTTAGGACGGATAGTATGCGAATTGGGACGCAGCAACACTGTTTTCCACACTGGCTTCCGTTGCCATAGCTGTCTAATTTTGCACTGTTGTGCTTTGATTTCACAGTAGAATACTAAAATCATCTGGGATGATTCTCAGAATGGCCATGTTGTTCTTTCTGTTTTCAAGGTGTACTTGCATGATCAGTCACAGGATGGCAGTGTGATCACAGTTAACAAGCAAAGCTCTGTTAAAGGAGAAACAAATGATTAATGCAATATATTAATGTATTATTAGGTTTGTGAAATGCTTCTGATAATGGAAATTCAGTAAGTTGCATTCAGTGCATGTTTACGTACAATTAATTTTTTTTAAATATATTTGTCCTAAGCCAATTATGTGTAAAATGCAGATTGTATTTACAGTAAATGTAAATAGTTGTACTTACTGTTAGCAACCCAGTGTTAATGCTAACAATGTGCATTTTGTCTAGTAACAAACTTTTATAATAGTATATCAATATGCATTGCCGTTTGAGGTTTTGGGGATTTTTTTTAATGTCCTTGAAAGATGTCTTTTATGTTCAAAAATACAGTTATTTACAAGTTTTCTATATGAATATATTTTTAATATGAGTAAAACTCGTATTAATGGAATTTTTGTTACAGCAAATATTTACATTCCTTTCCATTTTTAAATTATAGTTAAATTACCTGAAAATTAAATTAGTGAAAATTAATTATATGTATAAAAATTATGTCTAATGGCATTTCTGCCTTTTATTTGGATAGGATAAAAATACTAAATATTTCAATGCTATGTTTTAGAATAATGTTAAAAAAAAATTTATAACAGCTTTATTTGATGTTTTTGGGTACGTTTACAATGCTGATCTTTCCTCAGCACATGTCCTGTGTTGTAAAATCTTTAGCATGATGCATGAACCACTGAGAGTGTGACTCGTGATCACTAACCCAGTGGCTTTGTGTGTGTGTGTGTGTGTGTGGAAGATCTTACCAACAGAAGAACTGCTTTGTGATTATAATCAGCTACTCTTCCTTTGCGTAATTCCAGATGTCTATGGAACCAATTTAACCAGAAAATGTTTTGTCTTGTCTGTGTGTGTGTGTGTGTGTAGTGGATCTCGTATCTTGCAGCCCGCTCAGGTGTGTGATGTTCTGAAGGGTTTTATCATGGTTCTGTGTTATTTCATGATGCATTATGTGGATTATTCCATGATGTACCACCTGATCCGGGGTCAGTCTGTCATAAAACTCTACATCATCTACAACATGCTAGAGGTACAGTATCACAACACTCACATTTGTTACTATTATATTTACAGTAGTAGGTGAATTGACACTCTCTGTGTTTCTCCTCTAGGTGGCAGATCGCTTGTTTTCGTCTTTTGGTCAGGATATTTTGGATGCTTTGTACTGGACTGCCACTGAACCAAAAGAGAGAAAGAGAGCTCATATAGGAGTCATCCCACATTTCTTCATGGCTGTTCTCTACGTCTGTATCCTTCACACCAGCTTTGTTTTAAATGTCACATAGTCATATTTGGATATAATGACAATTTTATATAGATTTGAATAAATTCTCAAACTCTGCTGTTTAATATATAGTGTGTAATAGTAAAATTGATTGTAAAAATTAATACAAAAATACAGAACTAACAAGTTAGTAATTACAACTACAGTTTTAAGTTCTGTATGAAATATGTTTGAAGTAAAAAATGTTCATATAGCTTGAATGTAACACTACACCATGCCTCATTTAATATACGCATTTCTATGAATATGCAAATTAGCCTCCACTCAGTCACACCAGCTCAGTGATCGACTCATTGATGATCACACCTTGACGTGATTGGTTACAAGATAGTTTGTGACGTCATAAACGCCAGCGATTTCAAACCGTGTTTTTGAGACTGTCTTTGGTTCACTGCAGTATTAAGGAGAAAATACTCAGCAATGATGTTGACTTATGAATTTACACATGGTTTGTCTTAAAGCATATTAAAAAAACCGCATAAACTACATTAAAAGCTACACTGAAACTGCTCAGTTGTATTTTTATGATATAATTTGCAATCTGTCATAAGTTATAACTTTTCCTTAATTAATAATGCAGTTTTACATGCCATTCTAATTATGGTTCAGGCCACCACACTGAATGTGGCTTTCAATTCTCATAACAAGTCACTGCTCACCATCATGATGTCTAATAATGTGAGTGCGTGCACAGCTTGTTTATTAAATTAAATACACTACAAATGACTTTAGTCTCTACATTTGTCTCTGTATATTACATTATACAGCAGCACATACTTTCACTCTTTCTTTTGTAGGGTTTATATTAATGTATGTTTTTCTTTACGTAGTTTGTTGAGATCAAAGGAAGTGTATTCAAGAAGTTTGAGAAAAACAACCTCTTCCAGATGTCCAATAGTGGTAGGTCCATGTCTATAAACTCTTCTCAAACTGTCACTGATGAATTGTCTCAGTATTCCTATCTGTCTTTCTCATTACAGACATTAAAGAAAGATTTACAAACTACACACTCTTACTAATAGTCTGTCTAAGAAACATGGAGCAGTTCTCCTGGAATCCAGGTATCCAGTTAACAACTGACACATCTCAGATTTTGTGAATATGCAACATTGATGTGTGTATTAATCATTGATTATTGCTCATAGATCATCTATGGGTGTTGTTTCCTGATGTTTGTATGGTAATCGCCTCAGAGATTGCAGTGGATGTTGTCAAACATGCCTTCATCACCAAGTTTAATGACATCACAGCAGATGTGAGTTCAAATTATTGTTGCACTGTATACCAGGCTTAAAATATTGGCAGCACCAAATATTCCTTAGATTGTAATCATAAAATATATTATATGTTAGACATATTACAAATATATATATATATATATAAACATAAAAAACATATATTAAAGCCACAATATGTAATTTTTCTGCTTTAAAAATAGCAAAAATAACTGTATCTATGTTATATATTTCTATTAGATGTGTACTTACATTATCCCAACAGTTTCCACCAACTTTCAAATACGGAGAAACTTATAGTTTAATTCGAAGACATGGGACGTTTCTTTATTTCCGTTTCGTCGCCCGTGTATGGCGTCATATAACCTTTGACTCCTCTATTTTCTCTAACTTCCTTGCGGAACCCGGCGAAACCGCCAAACACAAAGGGGAACACTGGACTACCGCCAATAAAGCAAAGAAAATGACGAAGAAAAAAAAGTAGTACGTATTTTTATGTGTGTAAATCACGTGCCCGCTCACGAGCGCTCACTCTTAACAGACACTCTGTCCCCGGCGCTGCTCACGCATAAAGCGCTCCCCGTTCACAGTAACCGTGTCGTCTCATTCAAAACAGCCAACTGTTGCTGTTAGCGAGCCGCGCACATTGAATACTCATTATGAGTCAGACTGCGAATGTACGTGCCCGCTTCAGCGCGCTTACTAAATAAACGCCTCACCTCCGGCGCCGCGCACTCACTACATTCCCTTTAGCCTTTAGCACATAGTGGATGCATAACGCAAACCCAGTCAAACGTTTGACTGCAGTATCTTATGAGCTTTATAATCCGGTGCGCCCTATATATGAAAAATGTTCTAAAATAGGTCATTCATTGAAGGAGCGTAAAATAAATATTTATATTCATCTGTATTGTTGTTATGGACCACGATTACGCTTTGCCTGCACGTTCTGCAGCTACAGCCAGCTCATTAGCTAAAGCCCAAACGTACGGGTGAAAAATATAACCCGAGAAGGGTTTGGGACAGGAGAAGCATGACATAGGTAAACATTGGCGTTGCATTTAAAGCTTCTTGACAAGCTAAATCTACAGAGAGATGCCGTATATCCGTATATTTTGTGAAACGATGATGTCATGTCATGAGCTGAGCTGGTTGTCATTGACAGCGACAGCAACTCCCGTGAGCCCACGCTCTTTCCCGACGTCATCAAAGTACGTCTTTTGTTATTATTTTAAACGAGTGACCCCTGGTGGCCAAAAATCGCATACTGTACGTTTAATAAAATATGCTGATGTTCATGTTATCCTGGCAAAAGATTAAATGGTTAATTAATTTGGCATTAGTGAAATACACATTTTTTATATTTTTTATCAAAATAACAAATATATAATCATCTTGTGTTGTATATTTAATATTCAAATATAGTTATAATAATTATTCTTATTATGTAATTGTGTAACGTTAAATACAAATAGATAATATAATATTTAATGACAAACACTAAAAGCAATACATACCATTTTCTGTCAGAGCGCAAAGATTTGCATTCGTACAACATGAGTAGGCTTATGGTACCTTCACGTGCTATGGTAATTATGGTAAATACCAAAAGCCGACAGTAACACTTTACAATAAGGTTCATTAGTTAACAATAGTTAATGTATTAACTAACATGAACTAACCATGAGCAGTACATTTGTAACAGTATTTGTTAATCTTCGTTGATGTTAGTTAATAATATTAAAGCTGTTCAGTGTTTGTTCAACTAATGTTAACAAGATTTTAATAAAGAATTAGTAAATATTGAAATTAACGTTTACAAAGATTAATAAATGCTGTATAAGCGCTGTTCATCGTTAGTTCGTGCTAACTAATGTAGTTAACTAATGTTAACTAATGAACCTTATTGTAAAGTGTTACCAAGCCAACGTTGAAAATTAGGGAACTGGGCACTCATTAAATTATGGAATAATTGTTAAAAAAGAAATAAAATAGGCATATTTGTGGGAAAAAAAATCTGATATTTGAGTTACATAGAAGCTTTTTATTTGTTTCTTCCTAATTCTCCTTGAAATATTGGTCAAGTCGGTCCAAATTTTTTTAAATGTCACGCCACGGTACTAGATGCGCGTGCATGTCCGAGACATTGCGACCGGCGGTGCTGCTGATGTGGTGGCTGTAAATCCACTTGTTGATAAGAAAGGAGGAAAGAGCCAAATATGGAAATATTTTGGATATTTGCACATTATAGCGATATGGCGCGCTCATTTTTACAGGCGCGCAAGTTCATTTGCCGCGTTTCCATTACCCTTTGCGAATTAAATGTACGCACAATGGAAACACGCCCATTTCGTAAAAACTTCCATTTATTGCAAAAAAGTTTTTCAGGCAATTCGAAAAAGGAATATTTCGCAAAACTGTAATGGAAACAGGTTTTGCGCATTTACAGTCACCTGACTTGGAAGACATGGTGTGTTTGGGGTCCGTGTCCGCAAATAATAATTATCATCATTATTATAACATTTATCAGGCTACATATGTAGAAGATCCTTTTATCCAAAAAAAGGAACAAAGCAATTCGCCACATCTCATTCATAAAACAGCTTGGACAATAATAATACAGGGCTAAGATTATCACAAATAAACACTTTTGACGCATACCCAAGTGTGTGTGCGGAGTGTGCACCTGCCATTTAATGCTTGGATAACACACCAAGTCTCCTTCCATTAATAATAATTATAATGTCTAGTACGGTGGCTATAAACCTACCAATGTCCATTGCCATTATTTTTGGAATGACTTATCGCGAGAGGAAAAAAAGATGTTTTAGTCACACAACATTGGTTAATGGAAACGCCGTCATTTCGCAATAATTACGTCACTCTCGGCATAGGTGAACAGATAATGGGCCAGATCCGAGTCTATTTTAAAGGTTTAATTAAAGGTGAAAGCACACTTTTGATGGGGGGCCCCATCTAAGATTATCTTGTCCCGGGCCCATGCAAGACTATCAGCTGGCCTGCGTGAACACACCATAAGTATCATCATACTAATTGATATCATGATACTTCTGCTGTTATCATGTTGTTGTGGTTGTGATTTAAAGGGATCATTTTCAATTTTGAATAAATAAAGCCATTAAAATTTTGAGAAGACAGTAGTTTACCAGTTAATACGAAACACTACAGGTAGATTATATGAACATTGAATCACCTAGAAATGAACTACAGTTACTTGAAAACAGTAGGTCTTAGTGCAAATAGAAGTTTTTTTTGTGCGTGACCTTACTCTGCTGAAATGACAATACACTAAAACATGTATTCATGTATAACTTTTATCTAGAATAAACTAAAGAAAATCAGAACATGAGAACTGTGACATGACCTAATTAAGTCAAAGGGTTTCCTTATGCACATATTCGAGACTGTTCCTTCTAGTCTAAAACACAAAAACCTGTCTCAGTCAAAAAGAAGCCTTTACAAAGAGATACAGGTTTCCTTTGGGGGTGTGTCTGAAAATCAGCACCGCTCTCAGTGTCTTGGGTAACCCTGACAGATCCACTGACCCAAATCTATCAGCACACACAGAGCTCAGCGTCTGTCCAGTGTAGAGCCCCTCTGCTCTTGAGATACTCTTCAAATGAAGGATCAGTGACACTACAAACTAAACTGTCCCTAAACAAGTGTCTGAAAGAGGAAAAATAGAAGGAACATATGAAGAAAATAGGGGTTAAGCAGTCAAAATACAATGTGTGTGTGTGGGGGGGGGGGTTGTTTTGCGATATGTAATGACAGAAAGACGAGTGTAGTTACTGGCAGGGATTAGAGACAGATCTGCTTAGTTTAGGCAGGAAGATTAGTGTCACAGCACACACGGGCACACTTTTCTCTCTCCTGTACTGTATTTTTTCCTAGAAGTGGACACTAGCCAAAAGAAACAAAACAAGTTACCATATATTCAATATACATCTTAAAGTTTATGTATTTTTTATTAAATGGCTCAAATTGATCTTTCTTTAAATCAGAACCAGCATTTCAGCCAAACCGTTACCAATTACACAAAAGTTTTTGATCAAAAGTGACATTTACAATTACAATAAAAAATTTCTATTTTAAATAAATGTTGTTCTTTCTAATCAAAAAAGTTTCACAATTTCCACAAAAATATTGAGCAGCACAACTGTTTTCAACATTTTTGATAATGAGAATTGTGAGCACCAGATCAGCACATTAGATTGAAAAATCGGTTTATAAATAACAGTTTAAAACGTATTAAACATGAATGAACTCTTTGGTTCTCGTATGTTAAGCAAGCAAGCTTGAGCTTCTGTTTACTACAAATGGTGTGTGTGTGTTGATGAATGTAGAAAAGAATAAAAATAATCTTGATCTCCTGAGTTATTTGATAGAATCATTCTAATGTGGCTTCTTATGTGTGGGGGTGTGTTTGTGCAGGTCTACAGTGAATACAGAGCGAGCTTGGCCTTTGATCTGGTCAGCAGCAGACAGAAAAATGTAAGTGCATTTATCATATCAGAGACCTTTTTAAGCAAGACCATAATCTTCCGAACATTTACCCAAGTCTATGTCAAATTATGTATTAAATATGATCGATTGTTGAAAGGAATGACTTAATTTTTTTTTCAGTGTCTTGTTTTCTCCTGATCACATTGAAGGGCATTTTGTCAAGCTTTTTTAATCAGATACTGAAATATGTGTGTTTTCCAGGCATACACAGACTACAGTGACAGTGTGTCCAGGAGGATGGGCTTCATTCCTCTTCCTCTTGCTTTACTGGTAACCTGCCTCATCTTTATTTCATCACTATACCAAATCTATCACACAGTACAATGTAAAAGCAAGAACATAAATCCTTACAATGTTTGCATTCATTTGCAAATTGTCATTTTACAGACTCTTGTTGACTGCACTGCATTCACTTACACAAGCTGTATTTGTCAATACTTTTAAAGCCATTAACAGGGAAGGTACTGTGATGTGTAGTTACTGTTATTAGTTATACTCATGTAATATGTGTTTGACAGTTGATTCGGGTGGTGACCAGTTCTGTGAAGATCCAGGGCTCTCTGTCCATTGTATGTGTCGTGCTCTTCTACCTGGGGTATGAGTTTGCATTATTTGTAACAGTTTAAAAGTTGTTTTTTTAATCAAATATATTTTTATAATTGATAATAATGTTTAATAATTACACTATTACAAGATCACCTTTAAATAAAGTGTAAACTGATATTCACAATATTAGTGTATTTTTGATTAAATAAATGCAGGGTCACACTTTAGGGTCCAATTCTCACTGTTAAAAAACTATTTACTGTGACTTTTGCCTCGATAAACTCCTAATTATTTTGTATTTTGCTGAATGTGAATCATGCTGAATAAGGCAAGGTTAGGGTTAAGTAAGCAATAAGGTACGAGAGGCTGTGCTGTATCGTGAATAAGTAACGGCTGAAGGGCGTTGTTAGGCACGACGCGAAGCGGAGTCACAATTGCATGTTATAAAGTCAGAATTGCGTGATATAAAGTTGCAATTGCGTGTTATAAAGTCAGAATTGCGAGATATAAAGTCAGAATCGTGAGATTTAAAGTCAGAATTGCGAGATATAAAGTCAGCTAATATAAAGTCGCAATTCTGAGAAAAAATAACAGAAGTGTGACTATCTCACAATTCTGACTTTTTCTAACAATTGCGAGTTTACATCTCTCAATTCTGACTTTATAACACATAATTGCGAGTTTATATGTCGAAATTCTGACATCTTTTCTCAGAATTGTGAGATATATACTCGCAATTGCGAGTTATCACGCCAATTCTAAGGGGAAAAAAGACTAACTTTTTTATTCAGACACAATTCTGACTTTACAACACGCAATTTCGACTTTATATCATGCATTTCTGACTGTATAACACGCAATTGCGACTTTATATCTTGTAATTCTGACTTTATAACACGCAATTGCGACTTTATATCACGCAGTTCTGACTTTATATCTCGCAATTCTGACTTTACATCTCGCAATTCTGACTTTATAACACGCATTTGCGACTTTATATCACGCAATTCTGACTTTATATCTCGCAATTCTGTCTTTATAACACGCAATTGCGACTTTATATCACGCAATTCTGACTTAATATCTCGCAATTCTGACTTTACATCTCGCAATTGTGAGAAAAAAAGTCAGAATTGTGAGAGAAAAAAATCCGAATTGCGAGATAAAAAGACGCAATTACCTTTTTTATTTTTCCTTCTGTGGCGGAAACAAGCTTCCATAGCAACTAGATATAGCAATAGTGAAAATTGGACCCTAAAGGATTTCTTTTCAAAAACTCGTACTGATTGATCACACACTTTTGAACAGTAATGTGTATAATCCAAATGTTGCATTGAGTCTGTGTGTTTCTGTGTGTTTATTCAGAATGATCACTCTGAAGGTGCTGAACAGTATATTGTTATTGGGGAAATCCTGTATGTATGTGAAAGAAGCAAATATGGAGGAGAAGCTGTTTCAAAATCCCCCCTCTGCAACTCCCAGCAGAGTGTCCAGCAGAGCAAACCGGACCAAACACACACGAGAACCACCAGGTAACACAAGAAACCTTGAAAGCAGAGAGAAAAATAGTTTGAAAGTCTTATAAAGGTTTTGTTCTCTCTGACTAATTGTGTCACCCCCTCTGAAGGTGAATCAGCGGAAGAGGCGTCTGCATCAGTCACCACTCAACCCACCCAAAGGGATGAATGCCCCGCCCCTCAGCTCCCCACCAGCGAATCAGATCAGTTCCTCACAACACCAGATGAATCGGAAGATAAAAGCCTTATTCAGGACGATACAGAGCTTACACACAGGGCGCCCAAAAAAGACTTGCTGGAGATTGACCGCTTTACTATCTGCGGTAACCGTATTGACTGACATCAACATGCACCTTCAAGTTTGATGCCAGTTATGCACTGAAATGCCCACCAGCTTGATTTGTTTGACATTTGAACTTGAGCTTGTTGGAATTGGACAGCAAGAAACTGCAGGATATTTATTAATTAATGGTGCACCTAATTTATTTGAGACTTAAACACACCCATTCACATCATATCAACACACACACGCACACAGTTTTACCCATTTGGAATCCACCCAGTGAAGTTTCAAAGCTTTCAAGAGGTTCACCAACACCTTTGGATGACGGGGGAGATCTTGGTCCAGTGGTCACTGTGCTCTCCTTTCACAGAGGATGCCCATGAAGAAAAAAAGAGAATGGGATTAATTCTATTCTAAAATTAGATTCCATTTGATCTGCATTGCTTTAAAGCAAATGACAAAAGCTTCTTGTTCAGTTCTCTTCTTCATCCATGATTTCTGTATTTGGAAGTGTCCCTTCAAATCTACAATCTTAATTTCCATCTGAAAACTTTTTAGTTTGACAAATCCCCATGTTCATTGGCAGTCAATTCCGAAGTGTAGTTTTGTAATTGCAGATGTGTTATGCAGGTTTTCTTTGTGTCTTTGAGTGAAAGCAGGAAGCAGGCTAAACTACCTTTTCACATTTTTATTTATTTTTCTTTGAGTTTGAAAACAGGGTTTCCAAAGTTTTACATCATTTCATGTAAGGACCATTTAAAGGGCCATTGCGAGTATGGGATACTGTGCTAAAACGCATGTTAAATGCCGATTGATTTACATCGTAGAATAAGTTTGCATCTGAATGAAAGGATCGTAGATTAATGCAAGATAGTCGCATGGAAACAAAACTGAGTAGCTGGACTAGCATAATGTGATTTGCCAGCTAAAATGAAGGAATGAAATAGTTTCCATTTGGTGATGGAAGGTCTTTATCTTACTGTACCAAGAGCAGCAGATTTAATGAACATCATACATTGGTGCTGATGTTGGGAGCAGATGCTAAATAGTCAATTAACAACATTCCAAAAGTCAGAATCTTGACCAAAACATGGTTAAATATTGAACCTTTTGCTAATATCTTGAGCGTATTTGGAAGAAATAAAATGCCTCTGTTGGCCCCTAATGTATTTACAGATCTATGAGCATCAGAAGCCATTAACGTAAGTGAATAAGTCAAAGTTTCAATTTCTAAACCAGTGACGAGTGCCCATGCTCAGAAACAATGCATGTGTAGTGCTTAAAGAACTTATTGGAGTGCATTATTATCACAGAGAATACTTTTTGTCATACATTTACTTTGCATAACAGACCACACTGTCTTAACCTTATTTTTTTCATAATCATATCACCTAGTACTGGAGGTCAGAATTTAAGTTGAATTTTTTGAATTAGGAATTTGTATTACTTTGTATTACAAATGTGTGGCTATAATTGCTTTGCTTTGTAATATGGTGGCTTTCAGTCTGACAATTCACACTCAAGTCAGAATGCCAAAAGTCATCATAAAAGTCTGTCATATTATGTTAGGTGCTCCGTTTCATTTAGGAAATGTTTTAAGCTGAAAATATCAAATATGTCAAGGAATCACTTACTCTCCATTATCAAACTAACACTTTTCAAAACATTTTCAGAAGCATTCACTTGACTTAAACTGCCAAAATGATATCAAAGAGCATTTCTCTCTTTTTTTTTTTTTTTTTACATTTGAAACACTGATGTTAGAAATACTTCTTATTTTTTAAAAGATAGACCACTATATGCAACGTTTGGTTTTGTTGTGATTTTCAATAATTACCTGTGCATTCCCATGTGGGTTAAATCACCTTTTGAAATAAGATTGAAGTTTGACTGGATCAGTAATCAAAAGGATGGTTTGCTTGACTAAACCTTTGCATTACATACTCATATTCATTTATTTGGAAATACTGAAAAAGACAAGTTCTTTCCACACTGCTGGACTTCACTACTGTTTTCTCGCTGATTAATATCAGTTTGTTGTTTTTTGTGTGTGTTTATGTTTCCATATTGGCTTCAGCATAAGTTTCTTGCAAACTTATGTTTCCTGTAGAAACTGAAGAGGAATGACGAAGTCACATCCCCTGAATGGGATGTTTCAGAGACTGATTCAGGTGGAGAAATCAGGGCGTTGTGTTAATTAAAGTTTGTTGTTTTCTACCTTTGTGGTTGTTAGTCGTTTTTAAAAGTGTTTATGACACCGCATGGAGTCCTAATGGATATTTTCTTAAGGCACTGAAATAACACTGTAGACACTGTAACACTCATAACCTTATCAATGCGCATATGTCTCATAATGTTTACATAATCTATATACATTTTTATAATATATGTATATTGGCCAAAAGTATTGAGACACCCCTCCAAATCATTGAATTTAGGTGTTCAAATCACTTCAATTTTCCAATGGGTCACTCTCAGTGAATTCAAGCGTGGCACCGTGATAGGTTGCCACCTGTGCAAGTCCATTTGAGAAATTTCCTCACTACTAAATATTCCACGGCCAAATGTTAGTGGTATTATAACAAAATGGAAGCAATTGGGAACAACACCCACGAAGTGGTAGGCCACATATAATCACAGAGCAGGGTTAGCGCATGTTGAGGTGCACTGCGCAGAAGTCACCAATTTTCTGCAGAGTCAATAGCTACAGACCTCCAAACGTTGTGTGGCCTTCAGATTAGCTCAAGAACAATGTGTAGAGAGCTTCATTGAATGGGGTTCATTGAGGTGGTGTAAAGCTCTCCGTCATCACGCTTCTCTGTCTGCCAATCCGATGGACGAGTCTGGGTTTGGCAGCTGCCTGGAGAACGGTACTTGCTTGACTGTATTGTGCCGAGTGTATAGTTTGGTGTAGGGAGGTTTATGGTGTGGGGTTGGGCTTGGCCCTTTAGTTTCAGTGAAATGAACTCTTAATGCTTCAGCATAACAAGACATTTTGGACAATTTCTTGCTCCCAACTTTGTGGGAAAAGTTTGGGGGATGGCCCCTTCCTGTTCCAACATGACCACACACCAGTGCACAAAGCAAGGTCCATAAAGACATGGATGAGCGAGTTTGGTGTGGAAGAGACTTGACTGGGCTGCACATAGTCCTGACTTCTTCAACCCAACAGAACACCTTTGAGTGGAGACTTTGAGCCAGGCCTTCTCGTCCAACATCACTGCCTGACCTCACAAATGCGCTTCTAGAAGAATGGTAAAAAATTCCCATAAACACACTCTTAAACCTTCTGGAAAGCCTTCCCATAAGAGTTGAAGCTTTTATAGCTGCAAAGGGTGGGCCAACTCCATATTAAACCCTACGGATAAAGAATGGGATGTCATTAAAATGCGTGTGCATGTAAAGGCAGACGTCCTATAACTGTTGACATAGTGTATGAATATGTTTCTTTTTTTATGTGGAAATTGAATCCCTTGCATGCTCCACAAAAGCTAAATGACTCAAACTCAAAGGTACATACACCTCATGACGTTCTCATTTTTGCACCTTTTTTTTATTGTGTCTATTTGCACAGCCAGCCACTCATACCAACAGACTGCATCTCATCAATGCTTTATAAATCCACTGACACCTGTATCTGTACAACTAACTTAATATTCACTCGAACACCTTTCATTGTCTTCTATGCAATGGAATTTTTAATACTATTGAATATTCTTCTTCTGTCAACTGAATATTGTGCAGCAGACATGATCCTAACAGCCACTAGATCTGTCCATCACATTCTGTCTTGAGTGGCGGCAAAATAGCGAGAGGTGATTGTTGTCAAGGACTGGATTAAATCCAACCTATCCGACCCCAAGCCAAAAATAATCACCTAAAGATTATGTAACGCTAAACTGATCTGAGCTAAAACCATAGAGATCTGAGCACTAAACCGATTGAGATTTTGTCTTGGAATGTGTGTAAAATTAGATCACAGAATAAATGAACGCCACTATGAGGTAAGTGTATTTAAAACTGGATTAGAAATCTCCAATTCTTCGGCTGTACAAAATCTTAAAAAATACAGAGCATTGTTTTAAATATATTTTCTTAAATATATCTTATATAACAATGTTTCTTCAGATATTTAAAAATCACTCTTATTTATTTATATTATCGGTACGCATCTTGCATCATCCATTGCACTTAGGTCACGTGTATTTTTTTCTTTCTCAATTGAACTGTTTCTATACAATTTGATATTTTAGTCTTTTATTTTTAATCATAAAATGATATTGTGGACAATAACATTTTGAGAGATTCGTCTCAGGGTGCAAGTATAAAATTTGATTAGAGATATTGTTTAAAGGCAATAAAACAGTTGTATTCATGGATTAAGAATATGTCCGATTTGCACTTGTACAGTATAAAAATCATTATGTTTATTGAATAAATGTGCCCATAAAACATGAAAACAAAAGCATGTGTTTGCGTCTGTCTGTCTTTCTCTCACTCTGTTCTGTTTGTTGGTATTCATGTCCATGCACACACAACCGCACAGAGGCTTTTCAGCTGTTTCAAATGTAGCAGTGGGACATTTCTGGGAAGAGGACCGTAAGCTAGTGTTTTGGCAGAGTATGGAGTTGCTGCTTTTCAACTCATTTGACTTTCTGACTATATGTAAAGTGAGGGCCATGTATTTATGTGAAAATGACTGGTAGTTAAACTTTTCACGGCTCTGAGGTTACTGAAACAGTCATTTTAATGCTTGTACTGTAAAGCATGAAAAATCAGACCATAAAAACACTGTAGGTCTACAAATTACAATTTTTCTCAGTCGCTAAGCGGCTTTGTTACATTTCTCGAATTATCTTTAATATTTGCAAACCAGTAAGTTCATTTCTTGAAACGGTTCATACAAACAGAACCACACAATGGACTACCTTCAAAGCCTGTAACTTGCTTAAAATTCGTAGCAGTTAATCTCTCAAAAGTAAGTATTCATATCAACGAACATATCAGTGCCATTAAGATGACAAGTTCCTGTGTCATTGTTCACAAATAAGATGACAAAAAAGACACACATTCAATAACAGTGTAGTCTCTCAGTATTTTCAAATGTAAACCATGGCTATACGATTTTGATGAGAATGGTTGGAAATGAAAGGGCATATATCAATTTTAACGGTAAAAATTGACACATTACTGTAAATGGGATATTGATTGCAAGAGACTCACAAAGGATTCACAGTTACACTGTTGATCTGTCAATGTAAGGCAAGTTGTAGCGAGAGAACCCAAGTGCAGTTTTATTCAAAATAACACATAACAGGATAAAACAAAAGCATGACGTGGCATGAAACAAAAACTGTGGACATAGACTTCCAAACAGTGGTTATAGGTAACAATACTTGACAAAGACACATGGCAAACATGAGGGCTTAAATACACAAGACTTATGACAAGACAAGGTACACCTGTGAACAATGAACAGACGATTAACCAATGACAAAACACAGGGCAGGATCACATGATGACAAACAGGGAGTCACATGACAGACATGGAACATGACATGAACAAAACCAAAACGTGACAGAGGCCCCGTTTACACGAAGGGAAAACAGATATTTCCCTGCGGTTTGGCCTCTCGTTTAAACCAAGTTTTTATCACAGAAAACGATTATTTCTAAAAAAATCCGGCAGCTATAGCTTGGGGGCTGCTATAGAGTTAAGGGCAGGAAAAGAAACCAGCTCAGGAACAGACACCGGCTCGGCGGCGGCCATCTTGTACGGGGTCTCTGGCTGGGCAGACGTGACGTGAACAGTCTCTGGCTGGGCGGATGTGATGTGAACAGTCTCTGGCTGGGCAGACGTGAGGTGAACAGTCTCTGGCTCGGTGGGCGTGATGTGATGCACAGGCTCGGAGGGACTGACGTGAAAGTGCAGGCTTGGCAGGCATGACATGACGTGGCTCAGGCATGACGTGAAGCTCAGGCTATAGGCGTGAAGAAGCTGAGGCTCAGAAGCCATGATGTGAAGATTCTCAGCCCTGGCAGGCATGACGTGAAGTGGCTCAGGCATGGTAGGCATGATGTGAACAGACCCAGGCTGAGAGGATACTGTGGGTTTGTGGTGTTCCTCATCAGTAAAACCCACAGTCAAATTTGAGCCACTTAAAGGTGCTCATGTCGAGTGACGTGACTTCTTGTTGACGTTTAAAGTATATTCAAACAAAACGGAGGCTAGATAGACCCTCCCTCCTCCTCATCTGCACTGACCCCCCAAACCCCACCCCCAGGGCCTTCTTGTCAGTTAATGGCTGGAACAGTTTGTTATGTTTCGTGGAGCGGGTTGCCGCAGTTTGTTTTTGTTGCCATTTGTGAAGCCTGGGTTGTCTGCATTGACCGCGTTTTTTTTACAGTGTGTTTGGGGACAGGCAGCTAGCGGATAGGAGATGTTTGCTGTATGTGACAAAAATGTTTGGGCCTAAAAAACGTGTGACATAGCTTAGAGCACCTTTAACAAAACTGCATAGGTGATGTAAATTAATTTTCTCTCCAGGCAGTTCACAGCACAACGGTTCATTTAATCCATGACAAAAAAATGTCTTTTAACCCCACGTCATTAAAGTACAATTGGTAGGAGAAAACAGTTCTTAATAGTTTTGTTACCTTGACGTAGGCAAAGTAGGGCAACTGCTGGGTTCATGGTTGTAGGTCAGGTTTTCTGTAAGGATCCACTGGAGGCAAGACAAAATCATGACAAGTACAATGTTATATAAAGTATGTACAGGCCTTATATGGGCTATGTGTTTGTATAATAGCCTGTATATGAAAAAACTCTACTGTAAAATGCAAGTAGAAGTATAAAAGCATTACAGTGCAAGCTGAAATAGATGAATGAATGAATGAATGAATGAATTAATTAATTTGTGATATTCAATCTGTTATTTTTAATAAAAATCACCCTCTGTGCCACATGGATCAATTATTGACAGGCTATTGTCTGTAAAGTTGGCTGGCCGTTATATGCTCTGCACAATTTGAGGGAAGACTTAGTTGCTATAAACTACTTTGACTGCTTGACTCACATAGACATGGTTTGCCTCTAAAGCCATCTCCAGTGCGCGTGCACAGACTCCGCCAGCCATCAAACAGAAGTGGAGCGCGCAGCGGGAGGCGCAGGTCAGGCAAACACTCGGCTCATCCTGAGCTATCTAGACCGCAGGGATTTTTACCATGATGCCATCAGAAGGAAACGGGGAATAAACGCATAAGTTGGAATATTTTTTTTTTCATTATTGATTTTCTTTTAATTTTTTATGTGTCTCGGGCTATTTTCTTCTCTAATTTTTATTTTTAATGTCGATGAATAGAGAACATTCCAAACAAATATACTTTTCTCATACTTAATCCGTCCCTCCCTTTACTTTCCCTCCCGTTATTAATCAAAATCATCCCGCGTAAAGGACTGATGGACATGTGGTGGAAATTAGGGCTCGTACTGGTGATGTGTTGGGGTCTCACGAGCAGTGAAGCCCGGGAGGAGCACCATGAAGCGTCTCCGCTCACCGCGATGTCCAGAGCGCCATTGGACTTTGGATTCGTTCCGTCGGTGGTGTACGAAACCCACGCGTATTATGAACCGGGTCCCATCGGTGTTCTTTTCCACATGGTCCACGCGTTTCTGTACGTGGTTCAACCCAACCCTTTCCCCAAAGGTGAGATGCACATCAGCTCTGAGTACGCGCAAAAGTTTTCTACATTCTGGTGCATGTATCAGATTCACAGGGCAAACTTCCACATACCGTTTACTTACAAAGTGTTATAGACTTTAGACAGATTAATATAGCAAATGACTGCTTAGTCAGTATCAGATGGAAGTCTTAGGCATCATATGGCAAGCCGTTTAAGACTTATTCCTAACTTAGTATCTTTGGTTACTTTTTTATTTTCCTTCTTACAGTTATTACACAAACAAGTAACGTTACTGAGTAATGTTAAGTAACAAAATACTTACTATAGGGTTAATAGTTTGGTTTAGGGTGGGTTGCTTGTAATTATGCATTTACTGTAGTTACTATGGTTGGGTAGGCCAACATGGTTAAGGACACACTTTATGAAACGTGCTTTTCGCTATTCCCATATGATTGCAGAATTATTATTATTTATTTATTTTTTAATTGATGTAACAACAATTTTTGTGTGAAAATAAATCAAAAAGTGGTTTGTTTAAAAACCGTATGTATGAGGTGACGGGCCTTGCATTAATGTCATGTCATAATTATGGCACTTACATGATTTCAACTTGTAAAAAATGTTCATATCCTCTTAAGAGCTTTTATTACAGCTATAGCTTGCAAGATGATAATTGTTTGAGAGATTCTTCTAGACTGCTGCGGATTCATTTAGGCGTTGATTGTTGTGCCACAGAAATTCATTAATTAGTCCGTGGACATGAAGAGCTCTGAATATAACATTGTTACATCTGTCTGAACCAAAGAAATACAAGGGAATACTATCTGTACCATATTGAATTGCATAGCATCATTTTTTTTTACATTGCATCGTATTGCATTGAATCACATTGCTGAATCGAAATCGGATTGCACTGCATCATATGCCGTCATTTATTTCTAATTGAGAATAGTTCGGGAGCTGCGTGGTGCTTCAGTCATATGCTAATACTGAAAATTTTGGATCCGATTTAAGCTTCGGATGCGCTGAAATTCTTTAACTTCTGTGGCTTGACTGTATGCGATCGGCCGACCGGATGGGATGTATTCTAATCAAAACTATGAGCGCTAAGTTAGAGATACCAATATTTGAACACTCTAACTATATTCTGTAGAAATAATTATTTTATATTAAATCAATATTTATGTTGATTAGCTCGACAAAATCTACTCTGTTTTTATTTTAGATGTATTGAGGGTAATTTGTTTTGTGTGGATATATTCATACATGCATTTCTTTCATTAAAATTGTTTAATTTACTATTGTGAATAAGCCATGGTAATGGTTGCTTCAATTTTAAAGTTCCGTGCGACTGCTGCTAGGGGGCGAAATGTGACGATTGTATGTGAATGTCCTGTGCAGCGGAAAGGCGGATTAACAGGGGTGAATCGCATAGCATCGCATTAGTAGCTGCTTCTTTTTTATCTTTAATGTATCATATCATTGGCTATGCATCGAGATGCGTATCGTATCAGCCTTAGTTATGGAGATGCACATCCATAGTACCTTTAGCTCCAATAGCAGGGGCACCTCAGAATCAACTTTGCGTTGCTATCCACGATCGCAAAGATCAGCTAAATTTCCATGTGGATCATCAAATGCGGTTTTCATGTGTGTATTTGAAGTTTCAGCTCAAAATACCCCACAGCCCACAGATATTTTTATATGTAAAAATTTATGTACATTTATGTACGGGTTTATGTAAAATTTTGGGTTAGTGATGTCACTAACCCGGGAGGAATGTCCTGTATTCCCTACCAGATGTTTGTTGTAATCTTCAAAAAGCAATTTCTTTAAAAGAAAATATCTCCCTCTGCTTTGAACTTTGAGCACTGTAACTTTACAGATGTTGTTTATGCTCAAACAGCAACATTACACGCTAACTAAAGTTAGAAAAGTGAAATCATAATAAACCACCCATTTAAGAAATTTGCTGAGCTGAATTTTTGTGTCGTCTAGTGGTTTAAAAGAGAATAAAGTCATATCATATTTATCCTCATAGTACACAAGGACACTGCAATGTAGTGTTATAGTTTTGCCAATTTAGTTTTACTTGCTTGAAATCTAATAGTTGCTAGTATGTTTTTAAATTTACTCGCTTTTCATTAGAGACCAGAAAGCCTACTTATTCCAGCAGTGATTGTCTATTCAATTAGTCACCATGAGCCTTCTTAATGCCTTGCTACAATTAATTAACCCAGCTGTATTACTCTATTGTTCCTGGTAACAACTGACTAATATTATTTCTTATTTAATATATGCATATTTGTAGATTATTAGATATGAGACTTTAGTATCTGCCCCAGTTGTTACCATAGACTGTAAAAAATAGGTAACATATTGTAACCGTGACTAATTTAATAGATGTTGATTGCTATTGGAATAAGTGTACTAGTATGTTTCTAATTAATGATAGAGATGGAAATCAAAATTCAGTATCAATGTTTTTTTTTGTTTTTTTTTTTGTGATAGTTACAGTGTAATGCTGAACAGCACCTTGCAGCCCTATTCATCAGATAATATTTACACTGCAAATGATGAGGATTAGTCAGCGGAAATAGTTGAAACGTTACAAACACTTTGAAGAGCTGCACACATACCCATGTAATATGTTCTTCCTGAATGGGCCAGATCACCCCAAAGATCAGAGTCTTTAGTCAGGGTCTTTAACTATTTTTAACCCCATACACAATGGTTGGTGGTGAATTCGTCATACCAGTCCCAGTTAAGATAATTACAGTAATCTGTAGGAAGAGCAAGGAGACATGCAATGAGAAAACATGATGCCTTATGTTTTGATTTTGCCAGGGCAATAAAAATTACTAATATGCAATAACAGGGAGGTGAAATTGTCTGATTTACACAAACAGATATTTTTAGATGATCCGCACTACTTACATAAAAATGAGTGAGATTTAAGGAATAAATGTTAAAACAGCTTGCCACAAATATATTTATTGAAATAACCTGTTATAATTTTTCAGTGATCTGCTCATGAGTCATCATCATCATCCTTTTGCTATCTGATGCAGAACCTATGGATATATTGGTTTGGATATTATAAGATTGCGCTGGTTTGTTGCTGTACTGTTAGTACATTGGAGAAAGGGAGTCTGACCACTATAATAGCTCTGGAGAGTTCATTAATGTACAGATTTCCAGGTGTAATTCAAAAAGTGATTTTTTAGTTAATCAGGAGTGCATAGAGATTGGAATTGTGTCACACACTCAGGAACACACTGTACCTTTGTATAACTTTTACATTACAGTGTATTCTGACACCAGGGTTAGCTGACATGTTTTTGAAAGCCTATAGACTGTTCAATGGCAGGTTTCACTGTGACAACTTACCCCATATCATGTGACGACGTGCCCCACTAGTGGCTTCAATGAAGTGTCTTTTTTCCTTGGCAGTAACAGTCAATATACACACACACATTAAATTAGACTTTATTGTATGTCCCTTCACAGAAATTAAATTTCAAAAATAACCTACCCTGAGATATATTTACTGGAGTAAAAAGTGACAAATGGCCCCAGTGTGTTTAAGGTCAGGCTGTTGGCAGGTGGATTTCATTGTGAGGTCAGCATGTTGAGCACTGAGGATCGTGTGTGTGTGTGTGCGTGCGTGTGTGTGTGTGTGTGTGTGTGTGTGTGTGTGTGTTTTAGAGTAGAATAGGATTGCACAGTTAAGTCCCTGCAGCCTAACTAATTAGCCAATCTGCTCTATGAGTCACCTGCCCAATCAGGTAAGCTGATAATCTGAGTGCCATATGCTCAAAAGGTACATGTAATGCAAATGCCTGCTCCTGACAAAACATGCAAGTGAATAAACCCTCAAACAACCCCAAAATAACAATCTTGTAACCTTTCTAATTTTAAACCACCACCACCACATTCTTAAAAATAGCACATTTTAAGAAATGTGATGCCATTTTTAACTTGTAAACATGTGGATGTGGATGTACTGTACAGACATAAATAGATCAAACACATAACCCACTAACAAATCCTTTGCTAAAGCATTATTTGCAGATTTGTAACTCCTTATTATATAGAAAGCTACTTCTGATGTAGAATTGAGACCAAATTTCTGAATTAAAAAGCAGTAATATTGAGCACATGGTTCAGGTTAAAGAAAGGGCACAATATTTCTCCATTCCGTCTGTCTGTGACTCATTTTCCTGATAAGTCACAGCTCACAGGTTTGAACACAGATGGATCATTTTGTCTGTGAAGGAATAGGTAGGTTTATGCTTAATATACTTAATACAGTTCAATCTAACTGCATTTATGCTACTGTATCTGAGGAATGGACAGATGAAGGATACGAGGGATATGAATATACTGTACACAGTCTGAGTCTGAGGTTTAATCCGGGGACTCCCTTCGTCTCAGACCAGATAAAGCTTAATTTCACTGATCACTGGATTTCAAAATCTGCACTGTAATTGAAGGACAGGAGATAAACACCCAGATATGACCCACTTTTACTGGCATTGTCTCTGTGTGTGAAGCACTATTCTCTCTGTTAGTCAGTGGATTAGTTGAAGTTTATCTGTATTTGTCATCGTGTCATATAATATCATACTGTCAACAGTACTTGTCATAAACATTGCATAAGTGTTTCATCTTCTTCGTTCGGTTGTTTTATCTGTGGAAAAAAAAGGGAGTGAGAGTGCGTGATGGGGGTGGGGGGTTAAATAAGAGAGAAATAGGGTTTGGTAGAAAAAAGGGTGAAAGAGGGAAAGAAAGCATTAGAGAGGGAGAGGGACCACTTAACTGCCAAACTGCAAGACCACTGTAAGAGGATTAACCATATGCCATTTTAACCAGTGATACCCTTTTGGTTGTTCGCCCCAGGATTTCTTTCAGTCTCTCACTCTCTTTTATACAGTTTGAGATAAAGAGTTGTTATATCTCTCTCACACACACACACACACACACATATAAATATATTATGTTTAAATATAAATCTTTGTAA